AGGAGAGAGAGAGAGACGAGAGAGAGGAGGAAGGGAGAAGGGGGGGGGGGAGAACGGGGCGAAGGGAAGGAAGAGTGAAGGAGGAGCAATCAGCATGATTGACGTGGAAGTCAGGAGGATCAAGGAGTCAGTGAGACGGACTTTGAGGAACGCGAAGATTCAGATCGGTGACCCAAAGCCTCCTCCACCTCCACCTTCTCCTCCTCCGCCACCTTCTCTTCCTCCGCCACCTTCTCTTCCTCCGCCACCTTCTCCTCCTCCGCCACCTTCTCCTCGTCGCCGTCTACCATCTCTTCCTCCATTGACCTCCACCCTTCCAGGCAAACAGCAACACCATCAACCTGCATCTCCTGCAGGTCTGTTCCTTCTCCATTCTTCTCCTTCTGTTCCTCCTCCTCCTCGTTCTGCTCTCGTTTCTTTCTCTTAATCGTTTTCTCTCAGAATCTCCCACGGCCATGGAAGCAAAGTCGCCCATCTCCAACGAGTCCGACGCTCCTCCGAAGCGCGCTCAAGGTAACCCGAGCATGATCCTCCTCGAAGCTGAACGCCGAACACCAGGAGGAGGAAGAAATTCTGTTCCCTCCCGCTCCGTCAGCAGGAGGACGGTAACTGAAAAGGGAGCGGGAGGGAGGAGAAACTGATCGCGATGGACAGAGAGGTTCGATCATGGAAAACAAGTTCAAGCTCAAGATTCCCTCCTCCGAGCGCATCCCTCCTCAGCTGCCGGACTTGGAGGAGCGAAGAGGTTGGTTACCTCCTCCTTCCCCTCCCTCTCCTCCCCCTCCTCTCCCTCCTCGACTTCATAATCAGTCCTGCTATCCTACCGAAGTTCATCAACCTTCCAACCCCTCCCTCTCGCTTCCCGACTTGGTCTTGTTCTTTCTCGTTCTTCCTCTTCCTCTTCCTCTTCCTCTTCCTCTTCCTCTTCCTCTTCCTCTTCCTCTTCCTCTTCCTCTTCCTCTTCCTCTTTCTCATCTGAGTCTCCTCCTCCTTCAGCCAAGACAGCTCGCTCAAGTCCTCGTCAATCTCTCGCGCTTGACCCTCTTCGTCCTGCAACTTCTCGTCTCTATTCCAAACGCCCAGACTCGATGCACCTGTCGGCTCGTGGAGGGAAAGACGTCACAGCAGCGTGAGTTTTTGCTTCCTCCCTACACCTCTCCCTCTATCTCGTTCCTCCTCTCATCGTTCCTCCCCTCCTTCATTCCCTCCTTCCCGTCCATCACATTTCTTTCTTCTATCCTTCTCCCCACAACCTCCCCTCCCTCCCCTCCCTCCTTCACTCACCGAGCCCCGTCAGTCTCCTGGATCCATCCACAAAGATCCAAGAGCGTCTCAAGATCCTGCGGAGCTTCAGCGGCCTCCGACAGGTCAACATCCTCTTCCTCCTCTTCCTCCTCCTCCTTCTCCTCCTCCTCCTCCTCCTCCTCCTCCTCCTCCTCCTCCTCCTCCTCTAGTAGCAGCACGAGTGAAGCTGCTGCAGGAGCACCACCTCCTTCGCAGCATGAACCCCATGCTCACCGCCGCCGTCATAGCCAACGTGGATTCAACGTTTGCGGGGGATGGTCCAGGGCAGCAAGGAGAGGTAGAGGAGGGAGAAGACAAGATGGCAGTGCGGGGATGAAGAGGACAGAGAGGAGAAACAGAGGGGGAGACAGGGAGGAAGAGGAAGGAAAGTTGAGGGATAGGATGTTCTGATGTAGCACTTGCTGCAGGTTTGCGTGGAAGCCTTGCAAGCACTGAAGGTGATGTGAAATTGTTTTGTCCTCCCTCTCCTTGCAAACAAGAACACAAAATCTCTCTTGGTCCCTCCCTCCCTCCCTCCCTCCCTCCCTCCCTCTTCCC